CAGTTAATAGAACTGGGGAATCAGCATAATACTATGTTGAATAGTACTTTGAATACAACTTAACATTTGTATCGTGCGTTATGTGTGTCTCTTGTAGGAACACTATGTGTCGGGGATCGCCGCAGCGCTGGGCTCGGCGCAGGCGCAGTGCACCACCCTGTGCAGGGCCGCGGGCACTGGGACCTGGCCGACCGCGGCAATCGAGTTCGCGCATGCGCAGTAGAGATCGCGGGTGCGCGCGTGGCACCAATGACAGCACAGGGTGGGATATTTAAATGGCCCTGAGCTGTCATTCAGTGCCTTCTGGTCTTCCCTGTATTCCTGAACCTGCGAATCTGTGCCTTGTGAGTTATTGACCCGGATTGTACCTGACCTTGCTATATTCTCCTGTCCTGACCCTTGCTTTGCCTGACCTCTCTCCTGGATGCCCCCTATTGGATCTGACCTGCTGTTGCTGACGTGGCGTGTGACCCGACTATTCTCTGCCCGCTGCCTTGTACCGCACCGTCCTCTTAGTTACCGATCCGGCCTGCCTGACTTCGCACTTGCTCAGCCATCCATCCCCTCTCAGCGGGGTCTTCAGACCTCCTCATATCAGGCTTTCCTACGTGGGAGCCCCTGGCATATACCACTACCACTGACAGGTATACCCAGTAGTCATGACCTGGTCTCAGGGTGCTCCAAGTCCATCCCCACCATCAGGGGCCCTGGTGAACAAGTGCCCTGGGACTTAGACTCCGTGCTCTGGGGACGCCTACTCAGTGGAGCGCTGGTGGTACCGCCGGGCGGTCCCTTACACTATGTCTATGGAGAGTTGGTATATTTCCCTGAGAATATTCTGTCTTTCTGTCGGGGAATTTAATCCTTTCACACTATAAGTCATAAACTTGATCAAACTTATTTATATCATTCCTTCTCTATCTTATCAATTTGCCCACACCAGGGACACAGATATAGATACCTTAAAAACTGGACTTCCCCCCCCCCCCAACTACCTCTCACCCACCTCTTACCCTCTCCTCCCCTTCCCCAATGACCCCCCCTCTTCCCACCCTCTCCCTCCCCATACCCCCCTCTAAAACCCACATAGCCTACATACAGCCCTGGAAACTGTCATGGATCGATTCCACTATTGATTCCTAATATAGGGTGAGACTCAAAAACACACACGCCTACTCCAATCCCTAGTTCTCAACATTAGTTAGATTGGAGTCTGACAGCATGTTTGGCCTCCGGGCTGCCCCTTTACACCAAATTTTCTTTATCTCTCCCCCTATCCCAACCATGATCACACTTAGGCAGGGAGGTACCAAGAGCGGGGGAAACCGAGATACCGGAGAGGGGAAGGGGGACGGCAGGGTGGGAGAAAAAACAACAAAAAAAAAGTGAGGGGGAGGGACGAGAAGCCAGAAATAGAGGAGCCATATCTACTCCACTGCCCTATACCTAGGGACTCTTCTCCCTACCCCCAAACCCCCACTTTCCGACTTTATTCACCAACCCCCACCCACCACACCCAGTCCCACTACTTCTTCTTCCTAGTTACCTGCTGCCATTTTCCTATTTCCTGCCCCCCCCGCTCCCATTAAAACCCACTGAATACCCTTTAAGGTCTATTTTTTGTAAGTCAAGTTTCTCACAGAAGTCACTAAAGTCTTCAGGGAACCTCAGTCTTGCTGATTTCCTGTCTTTCCAGCCAATCAAGCATGCTGGAAAGCCCCAATTATAACAAACCTTTTTTCTCTCTCATATGTTCCAGTAGTGGTTTCAAAGATCTTCTTCTTGCCAGTGTCTCTGAACAGATGTCAGCAAAAATCTGCAATTTTGTTTCCTCACACTTTATTTTAATAGTGTCCCGCAGACTTTTCCATATTCTTTCCCTGTCTGCAAAATGATGGAATCGAACTATCACGTCTCTAGGACTATCTCATCCCAGAACCCAGATAACGGTCTGGAATGGTCCCCATCAAACTTCCTGTCTCCTTCTTGTTGTTTTTATTGAATTCGGGTCTCTGGACTTTTCTCCTGCATATAATTTGTAATTGTTGTAGCTTTTGCATTCGGTTGGGGGATTTTTAAGCCCCCTCCTTTAGCTTGTTTGCCCTTCATTCCTGGTTCGGCTCCCTTATTATTTTTATTATCTCAGTATTCCTGTGACTGTCAGCTTGCTACTCTCCTATTCGTCTCCACACTGGTTCTCTGTTATACAAGCGTCCCCCCCGAGGAAAGTCCTTTAATAGCCCCTTCTATCGATATTCCAATTAATTTATCGGCCAATAAGGATAACAAGCAGTTCCACCATCGATCTAAAAGAACCCCCCTACGTTAGTCTTCTGTTGCTCCCTTCCGTTTAGATGCATTTACATTTGATATATTACAGAAAACACAGGTATCAGATCTGACAACAGATTAAAAAGTCCTGCTGTTACCCACGGCAACTCACCATTACCTTCTGTGTCCACCATTCAGGACCCATCAGTCTCTGTTCACTCCACATCCGACTCCAAATACATCTATAGGGGGGACTCTGTGCTCTGCCAAAATTCTGGGGGGTCTCTAGATTGCTTATGCTTGGTATCTCCTCCCCAGAGGGTTATCCTTCACACTCTCCTGTTATTCTTCGTCCGTAATCCAGCCTGTTCTCCAGGACCCTTCCAGCTGTCCAGCGGTATAGAAGGTCCTCTCCCACCTGCCTTCCAGACCACCTTCTCCTCCACCTGATCTTGGACCGCCAGAATCTCTGAGCTCCCTGCAGCCTCTGCCCCCAGGTCCTCGGCTGATTCATACATCCGACTCCGCCAGTCACCACCGGGACTGCCCGCCCTGCACGTTTCCCGAGCACTGGGGCTCTGCTGGTAGGTCTCGGTTATTTCGGGTATCTCAGGGTAGTCAATGATAGAGATCGGTATCCTTCACATTTTATACAGACATGGGGGTGCTCGGAGCACACGCTGCTCACAGCGTCATGCTTAGGCCCCTCCCCCCCCCCAGGGGGAGTTTGCTTTTAATATTAAAAATTAATTCAATAACATTTTTCCAAGAGAGAAAAATTTGTCTTAGTTCTTTTTGTTTATGACGGGGCTGGGAAGCTATCTTTTGCAAAAATGGACCCTGTCTGTACTGTGCTGTCCGATGATCAGTTGTAAATTAGAATTTGAACAGTGTCTGTCCTAACCCTGTTTAAATTTTGAAGCTTGCCTTCTGCATAGTATGTTAATAAGAGGAAATTCAGCCGGACCTAAGAATTTCTATTGGGACAGCCTCAATATGAACTTGTTCAGAAATGCTTGCAGTCTACCATGACATAATTTCCTAAGAAACCTCTACATTGTAAGAAATATTTTTTTTTATTTTTTTTAGGTAGGTGGTGTGAATGGGAACACATACAACACATGTAGTGGGGTAAAATTTGACTGCAAAAATGGAAAATCACTGGACTAAATATTTAGAAAATAAGTTTGCCTCCCAGCAGTATTAAGTTATAAAAACACAGCCCAGGCTGCAATATTGCTGCCCACCTCCTATTCTGCCACAAGATGCCCTTGGTCCCCTGGACTAAATGATCCCCAATGTCACTTAGCTTAAGTGCTTTACTGAGGACTTTACTTTATTTATTCACTGTGAATTTATTTATTTATTACAGGTACCTATATAGCCCTATCAATATACGCAGTGTATTACATACAGTATAGTGAATGATATAAGATGTCCTGTAAAAGACTGCAAGAGCACAGCGCAGAATGCTGCATGAGGTAAAGAGAATCCCAGAGTGTCAGCTAAGACCTACATCTCTGGCCATGCTAACATTTTTGTTGACACATCTACAATAAGGTAAACAAGAATGCAGTACATGGGAGGACACCACGGAGGAAGCCATCGCTGTCAAAGAATATCGCAGCACATTTGAAGTTTGCAAAAGAGCACCTGGATGTTCCACAGCACTACCAAAATATACTGTGGACAGATGAAACCAAGATTGAGTTTGTTTGGGAAGAACACACAACACAAGCACAGCACACCAACATCAAAACCTCATCCCCACTGTAAAACATGGCGGAGGGAGCATCATGGTTTGGGGCTGCTTTGCTGCCTCAGGGCCTGGACAGATTGTTGTCATTGATGGGAAAATGAATTCCAGAGTTTATCAAAACATTTTGCAGGAAAACATACGACCATCTGTCCGCCAACTGAAGCCCCGCAGAGGATGGGTGATGCAACAGGACAATGACCCAATGCATACAAGTAATTCAACAAAAACAATGGCTGCAACAGCACAGAATACGCCTTCTGGAGTGGCCCAGTCAGAGTCCTGACCTCAACCCGATTGAAATGCTGTGGCATGACCTTAAGAGAGCGATTCACACCAGACATCCCAAGAATATTGCTACACTGAAACAGTTTTGTGAAGAGGAGTGGTCCTAAATTACTCCAGATCGTTGTGCAGGTCTGATCTGCAACTACAGGAAACGTTTGGTTGAGGTTATTGCTGCCAAAGGAGAGTCAACCAGTTGTGTCCAAAGGTTCACATACTTTTTCCTCTCTGCACTGTGAATGTTTACATGTTATGTGCAATTAAACCATGGCAACATCTAATGTTTGTGTAGTATTATGTTCAGCAGACTGTGTTCTTCTATTGTTGTGATTTAGATGACATTCAGAGCACATTTTATGCCCAATTCATGCAAAAACTCCACGTAATCACAAGGGGTTCACATACTTTTTCTTGCAACTGTGTATACTTTGTGGGGGCTTCAGGCGGAAGAGGGTCATTTGTGTATGTGTGGGGGAGGGGTACAGAGCCTGAAATTGAGCTTTAAACATGAACCGTGTACAATATCTGCTTGGCTATGTAGTTTGTAAAATGTATGAAAATAGCAAAATCGAAACTTCAGAATTATTTTGGCAGGTAAGTATACTGTATACTGTATTTCAAATATGCAGCTAGTTGTTTATGTACAGTTTCACTTTAACATTTCAGAACAATATGTGACACAGCATACCTTGATTTGGAGCTCTTCCATGTGGAGCCGGCATGGCTTGCCCTGAAATATTCACCCACATCAGTCCAATTTACAATTTTACAAATGCAAAAACTGTAATGATTTTATTTAATTCAAGTACAAAGATAAGCTGTCTTGTGTCAAACACTTACTTGATTGAGCAGCAACAACTGAGGTGAACGCTGGATGTATGTTACTTGCTGCTAAAATGAAAATTATGTTGAATTATTAATTTGCAATATATTTAAAATTACCTACGTAATCAAACCAATAATGATATAAATCCACAAACTAAAAAGAATCAAAAAACAAAATTAACTAATTAATTCAAAGAAAAAAAAGAATCATAGATTTATTTAGCAAGGCAATTCAATGCAGGTGCAAATATGACTCACACTGGGGGAGATATAGTAAAACTGGAGCATGCAAAATATGGTGCAGCTCATGGTGCAAAATATGGTGCAGGCATCAGCTTCCAGGATTTATTGTCAAAGCCTAATTAAACAAGCTGAAGTTAGAAGCTGATTGGCTACCGTGCACAGTTGTACCAGATTTTGAGTGCTCCACTTTAAGTAAATCTCCCCCTTGTGTGTAATAATTCTTTGAAATAATTTTGATCTTACGTTACTGATATCAAACATATTGAAAATGCAAGTTGTGATTGGCTGCTACATATTTTTTTTACCACTACTGTACTTTTTAGGATCTTACAAAAAAAAATATGAAATTGTTAATGAGGTCTTAACAGCTGCCAATGCTTGATGAGAGGGGGGAAGTTGGTAAAAAAACAGACATTGTCACTTTTTGCCTTTATTCAGGTTTTAGTTTGTTGCTAAGTATAGTACCAACCTCCAGTATTAAATATTTGTTTATACTCAGTGTGTTCATAAGTAAGATAATGTGGAATTATCATTGTCACATGTCATCATTACCAATTCAAAGCATTATTTTGTGTAAAAAAATACCTTTTTGCTCTCCTTAAATAAAAAATTACAGAGTATCAGCTCCTAGACTACCACCTTGGGCAGCCTCAAGTCTTTGGGAATTGGTTGTCACTGTGGAGAGCCTATTGTTTTCAGTCACTTGCCTCCCGTGTACACAGATAATTACGAACTGAATACAGAATCAAGTTTTTTTATATGGTGCAACAACACAATGATAGCCAACACATCAAAATCAAACTGAAGTAGTAAAGTATTGTAACTTTATTACATGGAAAAAAGGTGTTGCAGCTTGCAACGTGGATAGTAGCATTCCAACATTATCCTAAAAGTATAACTGAACCAAAAATAAAAAAAAACAATATAACTGAAGACTTAACAGTCTTTAGATGTGTTGGCCATATCAGTTTTACTTTTTTAAGCTCTTTATTTAACAAAGACATTTTATACATAAAACCATCAATATATACTGTAAAGCTTGCTATACAAGGTTAGATTTTTTTCATTCAGCCAGTGGGCTGAACGAAAGAAAAACTAACAGATTTCTGCATCCAAGGTGGATGCAGGAATCCCTCCTCTGGGACAATGTATTCTGAAAATGGGGACTCTCTGCTGTCAGAATATGCTGACCAGCGATGCGGCAGATTGACTGCAAGCTGGTGGTCGAAGAAAGTTTTTCGATAGTCCCATTCAACAGAAGCTGATCTAATGATTGGCCTCTATCTAACACTAACTGGAAGCTTTATACACGGATCAAAATTCAGCCTGTCCCTGCTGAACTGGCCAAATTTTGATTTGTACTGTATGTACCCAGCTTAGGACATGACATTTTTCATTTAAAGTTTATTTTCATAATAACATAGTAAATAGTAATATGTACATTTTGCATCTTAAGTTCTCACGGATATCTCATACTGACAACTTTTCTTGGCACATTAAGTCTATTGACTTCTAGATGTTCTGTCCTTCATAGTTATCTGTAATTGTACTACTGCAATTTCTATAATACAGAAATTATTTCCTCTCCACTGTCAGAATACACTTATCAGCGATGGTTTTCCAGCAGCCCCGTTTGACAAAAGCCGATCAAATGATCGTCCTTAGTCTAACATTAATGGGAAGAGCTGCACACAGGTCAAAAGTTTGATCTGTGTGTACTCAGCTTAAGACATAGTATTCTCCATTTTTTTTTATTTATAAATATTTATTAGGTTTCAATCAGATATAATTAACAAGCATTTCTTCATAAGATAATCATTATGTTCCTCATAATTTATTTAATTCCCACAACCCAAATCCCTCCAAGGCCCCTCCCCCTCCCCGCCCACACCTATCCCAGTGTCCCCCCTCCCCCCTCCATCCCACTCTGCCGTTTCTTTTCAAATCCAAAAGAGAGAGAAAAAATAGATATACATATAGCACAATCCCTTTTTTTTTTTCCCCTTTTTTCTAAGACTCATCATTTCTAAAAATCATTGTTCATCAAGAGTTCTTGTCTAAATACTTCCCATTTTCCCCACTTTTTATGATATATCTCCATCCCATCTATGTGTGTATAATAAAGTCTTTCCATCTCACATAACTGATTCGTTCTAATCAACCAATCTTCTTCCGTCGGGACCTCCCTTTTTTTCCAGAACTTAGGAATCAAGCTTTTAGCTGCACTCAGAAAGTGCCAAATCCCTGAGTCCTTATATGATCTTACTGTGAGCTCAGATATATGAAGGAGGCATAACTCTGGGTCCAATCCAACATCGATCTTAGTAATTTTTCTCATTAAATGGACGATTTTCCCCCAAAACACCTGTATCTTTGAACATTCCCACCATATGTGATATAGTGTACCTACTTCACCACAGCCTCTCCAACATAATGGGGAGTTCTCCCTACTCATCTTGTGCTCCACACTCGGTGCAATGTGCCATCTAACTAAACACTTATAATTTAATTCCACTTCTCTCATACTAATATTTTCGTGAATTAATCTAAGCATATTCCTCTGTTGCTCCTCACTGATCTCCCTCCCCATATCTTTTCCCCATTTCTCTATATAAATTAATTTTGTGTCAGTGTCTAGTGCCGTTAAGATTCTATATATTTTAGCAACCCCATGTCTCCCATCTCCCCGTGTGTCTAACAGACTTTCAAATAGATTCCAATCCTTTTTTGTTCTCACCGGTTTTGGGAGACTCTCAAAAAAGTGTCTTAATTGGTGGTATCGAACCTCGTCCATTCTACTAAAAACCTCTCCCTTTAATTTCACCATCTCTCTATAAGATCTTAATTCCTCCCCCACCATTATATCTCTCAATTGCGCATCCTGTTTAATAATCCAATTCCCCGTGATATCTTCCTTCCCCGGTGCAAAGTAATCTGTATTTTTAAGTGGCATTAACTGTGAGTTAAAAACCCAACCCCTTTGTCTGTGTAACATCTGCCAAACTTTTAAAACAATAGAAGTGTATGTACTTGTGTTAACATCTAGTCCACGGTGAGGTGTAGGTAACCATATAATTCTGTTCAGATTGGACCCGCTCAGTATATTTTCAATTTTGACCCCAACTTTTCCCCGGGTTATGAGTCCAGTCAAAGATTCTCGCGATCAAGGTCGCTTTATAATATCTCTTAAAATCTGGGAGCCCTAAGCCTCCTCTCTCTTTAATTCTAGTCAGCGTTTCATAGCATATCCTCGGTTTTTTTTTCCTCCATATATATCCCAAGAGCATTTTCCTTAGTGTCCTAAAAAAAACCTCTGGAAGTTTAATTGGGATCATTTGAAACTTGTATAGGACTTTGGGCAAAATTATCATTTTTATCAGATTTATACGGCCCATCCAAGATGGATTTCCAGTTCCCAACCTCTTCAATTCCTCTTTTATCTCATTTAAAAGTGAGATGTAATTAATCTTATACATATTATTAGTTGAGGCAGACAATTTTACCCCTAGGTACTTTAGTTCTTTCTCTCTCCACACAAAGGGGAATTCTTCTTGTATTTTTTCTTTTTCACTATTTTTAAGATTTATATTTAAAATTTCTGATTTTGTTGGATTAATTTTTAAGTTTGATATTTCCCCATACTCTTTCAGTGTTTTCATTAAGTTTGGTAGAGAAATACGAGGGTTTCCAACGAAAAACAATCAGTCGTCCGGTATTCTCCATTTGAAGCTTATTTTCATAACAAAATTATAGATAGTTACATGTACATATTGCTTCTCACAGATATCTGACTTCTTATCTCTGTACATTATGTCGATTCACTTCTAGATGTCCTGTCCTTCATAGTTATCTGTAATTGCACTATTGCAATATCTGTAAAAAGCAAATTATTTCTTTCATCTGATGTATCCATTAATTCACTTTTTCAATATATGTATTTGGGATTAGAGAGAGGAAATTTAGTACTATTTTATGTATGTAGGAAGGAGAAGTAAAAACAATGGGGAGAAGAAAAAAAAGGAGAGGAGGGGAAAGGGGGTGCTAGAATTGAGGGGGGGAGGGGGGCAGGGGCAGCAATTCGTTTGGCCTTATAAAGCAAATGGGAGAAGATCTCATCTCCCTTGAACATTTTCAGCAAGTACAGGAAATTCCTGTTGATCTTGTCAAAAATGCATGGTCCTTGTTACTTCCTGTGCACTTAAGCAAAAATAAGCTTGTCTTTTTTCTGTAAACTACTAATCCCATCATATTTATCTTTGAATACTGGACATTCTCTGAAATTTAATTTATATAGCACTACTTTAGGCCTTGTATCCCTTCTCTTTTTATGGTCTTTTTCAGATAAGGTGTAGGTGTGAAACAGATGCTGACTGATATGTCTGAAGTCCAGCCTAGGTGACAACCATAGCTCTCTACCTAAATGTAGTGAAGGAGTTAATGTAATCACCAAGAGACATGAAGTGTGCTTCTGTAGAATTACTAGGTAAATGTAATGAGAAAAACAGCCTGATAAAAGTAATGCATCCACTTCAACTAAGGATAGGTTCCACAGGATCACATTGAAACCCATATTTGTGAATTATTTCTAGAAAATAAACACCTGTCTACCAAACTTATGTCAGAGAATTTTATAAATGTATTCCAACCTACCTACCTGTATCTCTTGCCCGTACCAATGGAGGTCTTGTCCTGACTGTTGTAGTAGTAGTAGTAGTAGTTTGTGGTGGTAGTAGTAGTAGTTGTGGGGGTGGTTGTAGGCTTTGGAGTTGTTGTAGGCTGTGGAGTTGTAGGTTCTGGAGTTGTAGTAGGTGTGGTAGTAGTAACAATTGACTGAGTTGTGGTAATAACTGGAGATGGTGCCTCTCTCTGTGGGATTTCTAAAAAAAAAACATTTTCTTTTTCTAGCCATAGTAGGATCAGCATTAATTTAGCATCTGTCACTCACAGAATATAATAAGATTGATTTAAAAGCTTTTTCATATTTTTAAGATTATATCAATAAGGATAATAATTTTCCAACAGCACCAGCCCTTCCTTCAGTCCACCCATATAACAGCCAAACATACTAGGGTTGTTCTCAAATCATATCAATCATAGAAATACTTGTAGCTGTGCTTATTAACATAATTCTTCTTTGAGAGTTTATACATTAAAATCTAAGTATGACATACAGTAGTTTAAAGGGATGTAAAATAGCTAAAATCTCCAGTAATTAACTAACAATTCAAAAGCTCATCCCAGAAAACTATGACAGCAAAGTGGAATCTGCAAGACTTGAGATGCTGGCTGACTGGAAACTCAGACAGAGCCATCTGAAAATGGATGAGTTCCTCCTTTGATTCATTTGCAACTTTAAATTTCAGCTTAAGTTACTGACCTCTGTAAATACCATGTTTTTTGTTAAACAGGCAGCAAGGAGACCTTGACTTTCAAACATTAAGTAACTTATATACAAACCATGGACAAAATCCTACTTAAATGCTAAGCCTTCTCTAGATGTCTATTATATTAGTGTTGGATAATTGTCAGTGTGATCAAATATCCAGCTACTTATGTTTTCCTGTTGCACTTTTAACAATATCTCTCTTTTCTTTTTCTGGGCCAGTTTCAAGATTAGGATCAACATACTTTATGAGCAATTGGGAATTGTATTGTTTTTTGTATTGTACTCACAATCACAGCTGACTGTTGCTCTCTGAATCTGCAGTATAAAAATGTTTTTCAGTAAAAGAGTAGCAGAATTCTCAAAGAATTCATGACTGGGCCTTTCATGGTAATTAGGCATTTCAAATACCCTCACCGGCCAATTTATTAGGTACACCTTGCTAGTGCCAAGAAAATATCCCCCACACCATTACACCACCAGCCTGAACCATTGATACAAGGCAGGATAGATCCATGTTTTCATGTTGTTTACGCCAAATTCTGACCCTACCGTCTGAATGTCGCAGCAACCAGTCTGCCCATTCTCCTCTGACCTCTGACATCTACAAGGCATTTTCATCCACACAACTGCCGCTCACTGGATATTTTCGCTTTTTCGGATCATTCTCTGTAAACCCTAGAGATGGTTGTGCATGAAAATCCCAGTAGATCAGCAGTTTTTGAAATACTCAGACTAGCCCGTCTGGCACCAACAACCATGCCACGTTCAAAGTCACCTAAATCCTCTTTCTTCTCCTTTCTGATGCTTGGCCTAAACTTCAGCAAGTTGCTTTTCACATCTACATGCCTAAATACATTGATTTGCTGCCATGTGATTGGCTGATTAGCAATTTGTGTTACCAAGCAATTGAACAGGTGTACCTAATAAAGTGACTGGTGCAGGGGCGGACTGACCATTTAGGCTCTCGGGCACTGCCCGAGGGCCCAGGGTCAGTAGGGGGCCCCATGAGATGCCCCTGGTACCTTTCATAGGCTTTATTGGGTGTGGTTTGAGTGTGGGCAAGGACACAGGGGTCCCATGATTTGCTATTGCCCGGGGGCCCCATGAATTGTCATTCCGCCCCTGGACTGGTGACTGTATATTTATTGTTTATAGCTGGAAACAAACACCCCACCAAAATTCCGCAAGGTGAAACATGTAAAATTGTAGGGTTTTGGTGGGTTGCTATTTCCACCTATAGACCACAAATATATTTTAAAAGGTTAGATCACATGGTTAATACAGTGAATTATTTTGATAGAGGAAGCCTCTTTCATTGTTCAAAGGAATGGTCAATCTTTTCTGAAAAATAGGATGTTCCTTCAAATATGGTTTGATTGGCAAGCCATGTGATAGCATTGAGTTTAGGCATATCACTAATGATTTAGATTAGGGCTTAAAATTTCAAGTCTAGACCTACTATCCAGGCACAAACCTTACTCTCCACCAGTTGCCCCACCCAACCTTGCCCAGGTCCGCCTCCAACCCCACCCCGTCATATCCCCCAGGATATGCACACCGTGTATGTTTTCTACTTTTAAGTCATGCATTGTTGTACTGCAGCTCAACCTCACTGAGGTTCGATTCTTTTTAGCAAAAAATAATTTGTTGCAATAAACATTTATTGTTTTATACCTGTGTGCACACTTTTTTTTGCCTTTCAAAGTCCCAGGGGGATATTTCCATAGTTGTTGTCTGTTTCAATATTTGGGATGTTGGCAAAAACAGTGTAAATGGTGGGGCATTATACCAATTTCCTAGTCTGTAATCTCACCAGGCCAGACACAGACAACACAGACAACATGGGCATTATACCAATTTCCAAGTCTGTAATCTCACCAGGCCAGACACAGACAACAGTAAAATACATATGTTCTAGCCCTTTCTCTCTCTATACAAAACTTAAAACAATTGAGTGGTGCTCCACTCTAACTGTGACATAGAGTAACCACCTGTAGTGTGCATGCAAGCAGCTCACCTTAAGCTGGCCATACACAAGTAATTTTCCCGCAAGGCGGTGCAGAGCGGGCCTTGTGTCCCCCAAGGCGGTGCAGAGCGGGCCTCGTGTCCCCCAAGGCAGTGTAGAGTGGGCCTCGTGTCCCCCAAGGCAGTGTAGAGTGGGCCTCATGTTACCCAAGGCGGTGGAGAGTGGGCATCATGTCCGCCAAGGCGGTGGAGAGCGGGCCTCTCCTCATGTCCCCCGCGGCGGCGAAGAAGAAACCGGAAGTCGGAAACCGGAAGTCGGCTTCACAGTGAGGCTTGGAGCGCAAGTGAAACGCAAATCGATCCCTGGGGCCTGGGGATCGCATTGCAAGCCACCCGCTCCATCTGTGCTCGCCACAAAGGGATTTCCCCTCGGATTTGGCGAGCGGTCGAGTGGAAATTTCAAGCCCTGATTTAGATCATTCCTGGGGCATAATTATATGAAGCATACTATAAAAATGTATATATGGTATACATATATTGACTATAAAAGTTCACTTACCCAAATACAAAAAAACACTTATTTTCTACAGCTATTATTGTTTTGTCAAAAATGTCTAAAGTACGTAGATGATATCTATTTTTTTTTTACTTAGTGATAAACATGATAAACCAGTTTCAAAGAAATTGCGTTAGGGAAAAAACTTACCTCTAGGTTCCACGTATTCTAGAACATCGGGATATGTTACACCTTTCTTTCCTTTTCCCTCTGATTGAAACACACATAACAAAATAATGTTACAATTTAGTTTAAATTGTATGCATAAAACTAGTAGATAACATCTGACCTGGAACAGCCTGATTTACAACAGATATCTCCAAACATCAGATGATCATCTAGCCAATCCTAAACTGATCTACTGTTTAAAACTGTATTAAATGTGTTTAACATTTTTAAGTTTTTGACTCTTTAAACAAAAGACAAGGTAAAGCAATACATCTTTACATCATAAATTACAATTTTACAGCAAATGAGATACTTGCATGAGATACATGTCTCTTATCATCTTGTATCAAATATATTTAATATAACCTTTTTGCCTCAGGGTTTTATGAAAGAATTTTTCCCTTTTGTAGCAAATTAAACCACGCTTTATAAAGTTTTGTTTTCATCTTTGGATGCAGGTGTTTAATTGATTTTTATCTTTTTAGCTCACTCAGTAGACGTGTCCTTTTTTAACCTGATTAACTCTATAACTATGTAACATCTAATCTTATCTATATTTTTTTTTCAGTTTGGTGGGTTAGCATAATATATTTAAAAACATGTAAACCAAAACTCTAAATTGTACATTATGAAGGAATAGTTAGTGTAAATCACCATGGTTCAATGGTTAAGATTATGGAAAGGCTACCAAATGGAATAATTACAGAAAATACATGAAAAGACTGACTAAGAAAAAGGCTACTTTCAGAAAAAAAATATTTTGAGAATATCAGTTATCACAACTATCTTGATCTCCATCTACCTGCTAGCACTGAATGCAACAGCTCTCTAATGGCCAAGCTTCAAGTCAACAACCGGCCAGACTGGATCTTCAATGGAAGAAAGCAACCAAACATAATCAAAATGTTTTTTCCTGATGAACCCATTTTTTGACCCAAACCTTTCTGGCTGTGTTGCTTTTGATATAAATATATGTCTGTTTTGTATATATGTCAGAGGTAGAAAGAGACTTGTTGAAAGAGCAGCTTGTAATGATGACCAAGTGTTTGGAAGACACTGCAAGCAAGGCAAAGTATTTAGAAATTAGGGAACTCAAAGTCAAACCTGCAGTGGCTTTGAAGTGTCTTCAAACCCCTGTAGGTCAAGTTGAAGATTTGAATGAGTGGTGTGCAGCCGTCATAAACAAGTCTAATACCCTAACAAAGGACACAGGCCCTGAGCCTGTAAGCAAAAGTAGAACATGTACCACTGTTACTTCCTATAAACGGGAAGCTGTAAATCTGAGTGATAGCTGAGTTGGGTCAGATAATAGGAAGGCAAGGCCTATGATCTCCAGGAGACACATATGGACTGATTTACTTAAGGTGGGGGTCCCTAAAGAGGAAATAAATGGGATTCCTATTCCAACTTTGCTTGAGAGGGTGGAAGCAAATGGCTGGCAAAATTAGATTCAGTCACATTAGGTGTTTTTTTTGTCATAGACTGGGTCACATTGCTAGAGAGTGCTATGCTGTGAAGGCAACAGCAGGCTAGTGTTCCCAGGACAGCACAGAGATGCAGGTTTGTTCTTTCCGCTGGAAATCTCCAGGAACTTTGGGCACCCTACAATAGTTTTGCAGTTTGCAATGGGCAGATAGAGAAATATGAGCAGTGAGCTATGTGTTTTGGCAAAGTTGGAAGGAACAAATAATATGTTTTTTGTCTCTCACTCTTTTCAGGTAATGAACATTTGAGAGGTGGAGCAGGCAGAGCAGATGACCAGGCCAGATGGGATTATGCAGACCAGAAGAGGAGGAGACAGCTTGAGGAAGATGCAGATGATTTCCTGATGATGGCTGAATTGGAGTGGACTTTCACCTCAAAATTTCCTTATGACCAGGAGGACAAGGGACTTTCATCTGAGACTTATTTTCTTTCCATCTACACAGACTGTCAAGGACATTGCTAACCCTGCTCAACAGAATGTTGCAGCTTTCCAGGGACAAAAGTCTGATCACTCAGAACATATGGGGGTCGAAAGGGAATTTTTTCCTCCCTTTTACAATATGGGGGTTTATTTCACATTTTCCTGTACAAAGGTTGTAAAGCTGCTGAGAATTGCTAAGTTTCATAGTTTATCACATATCATGCTGTAAAGAATCAAGAGGCGGAATATGTTGCTTTGGATTAGTTGGTGATTTTTTTTAAAGCGTAGATATGTGATTTTTAAGTTACATCCATTTTGTTTGAAGCTAGGCTCCCTCTATTGATATGAACCCATTTGACTGATTTATGAGCAGCATAGGAAATGAGGTAGCAGGTGTAGGGATGGAGGAGTTTTGAACAAGCCATGTGCTGAGTTGTTTTGAGTAACAATAAAGACACACTTGTTCGGAAGATGGATGAGGAAGCAGTTGGAAGAAGATTCCATCAATGGAAAGTCCAAGTTGAGTAGCTGTTTTGTATACTTATTGCATACATATTGTACATGCTTATTTGCTAGGAAGAGAGTCAGATTTTGCATGTTGTAGGCATATTTTGTTATACTTTGTGACTGGGTGTCATAAGACGTCCTGCCAAAAAGAGCCGGTTACGTGGCCGCGGGGCAGCACAGCAGCGCGATCTGTCACTGGCTGTGTCCACATCAAGTGCGAACCGGACCCGGTGCCTGGCTGCATCTAGTGGGAGCCGAACACGGTGCCTGGCTGCATCTAGTGCGAGCCGGACCCGGTGCCTGGCTGCATCTAGTGCGAGCCGGACCCGGTGCCTGGCTGCCCGTTGCCAGTGTCATGTGACCGCTGTGACCAATCACAGCAGATCACATGTCAATTGTATACAATGGATGGATTCCTGTCATGCCATCCATTGTATACAATTTTGTTCTTAGCTGTGACTGGTCAAGGTAGACACATGATACAGACAGGGCCAAATCACAGCTCATCTGTATCATGTGATCAGTTTTGCTCAATCTCAGCTAATCACAACAAAAGACTGAATTAATCAGTTCATTCAGTAACAATGAGTGCAAATACATTGATATTAGCAATCATAATGTTTAAATAGAAAATAAAATACCTGATCACTTGCCCAGAGTAGTACAATGTTACTATGGTAACATTGTATTGCTTTGGTCACAGTGTGCTGAAAAATAAAATAGTAAAAAAAAGAAAAAATTTAATAAAAAATAAACAAAATAGAAACATTTGAAAAAAAATACAAATTCAATTATTATTATTATTTTCACCTAAGAAATGTAGCAGAATACATTTTGACCTAAATTTATGAATACATTTTATGTATTTGCAAAGGTTTATAACAGAAACAAAGAAAAGTGCGTTTTTTTCAAAAGTTTCAGATGTTTTTGTTTTATTTAGCAAAAAAGAAAAACTCAGTGGTGCTTAAACACCAGCAAAAGAAATCTCTATTTGTGTGAAAAAAATTATAAAAATTTCATATGGGTACAGTGTTGCATGACTGAGCAATTGTCATTCAAAATGCGACAGTGCTGAAAGTTGAAAATTGGCCTGGGCAGGAAAGGGGGTGTAAGTGCCCAGTATTGAAGTGGTAAATAAATAATAATTTGTTCTGAAACCAACTATTGGCTAAACACGTCTCTTATTGAATTACCTACAGATTACTGTTCCTGCAAGTACAGACCATATGCAGGTACTGTAAATTCAGCACAAGTAGATTTCTCTTATGCACTCTTTCTCCAAGTAAATCTCTTGTTAAAGGACTTCTTTCATGCACAGTCAGTTTAAGCCTTTCATTAGTAAAATTAGATCTTTCATTGACTTTCATTAATGCTGTTAGCCTAGGTTGGGCTTTGTTGTATGACTAGAAGTTAAATGAGTATAGCCTACTTTCCTTATTTCCTATCAAACTGAATGTTACAAGAAAAACAAAGGTAATTCTACAAACCTTAGCCCTAAAATATGTTGATTTATTCTTAACTATCTGTATTTGTTTTCTGAGAAAATGTGTGTTCCCTCTACCTCAGATATACCAGCTGGCTTGATTCTCTTGCTCCCTACCATGTAGTAATAATGTACAACTTTATTCCAAGATGGGGATTTTTTTTTTTTATGAGAAGCAGCGTCCCTCTTAGAGCTTATGTATACTGCAACTGATAAGATTCACGTTCAGGAGCTTTTCAGCGTTTTTTTTTCAGTAGCCCCTGAACTCTCCCTAATGTTTTCCTATGTGTCCATGTACACTATGTCGTTTACAGGCAGTTGAGTTTACAGTCGTTTTTTTTTTTCCAAGAAATTTTTATTGAGATATGAAAGGCATAACAAGACATAAACAAATACGGATCGCAGTCCGCGCAAGTCTTTAAGCATGTTCTCCCGTAACGTAGACGGGTACAGGACATATAAGTAAATCGTAGCTCAACCTGAAATACAGTCCTAAGAGGAAGGCATAGTATATACCCATAGCAATGATGTTAGCAGTATGTAATTTATAGAATTTACAATAGTCCTTGTGTTAGGGAGATCTAAAGAAACAGGACAGCGAGGTATATAACAATAGTCGTGTCAACTCAGGCATATATGTCTTAGGATTCCGTTCTGAACATTATAGATTAGATTTGAGGAGTATTGTTACACCTGTGTGTCTGTAAGTACTCTGTACCTTATGAAAAATATAGTTAGTTAGAATATGGTAAAGAGGTGAAACAGAGAGAAAGAAGAGATGGGAATGAGACGAGCAAGGGAATGGAGGAAGAGTATGAGGAAAAATCATAGTGGGGCGAGGAGGGACGTAGGGGATGAATACAGAGGAAGAGAGAGAGAGAGAAAAAGAGAAAAAAAAAAGGGGGGGGAGGTGAATGGGAAGGATGAGGTATATAACTAAATAGGCATAACCAAACCAGTCATATCAGTTAGCAGCTTCCAGGCTGAGACAGATTCAATACAGTCGTTTTTTTTGAACGCACCAAACTTGTGTTCAGGAGTAGATTTTATTAGTGTTTCAAAAGCCAAATGCTTGTAAACGCGGCTAACTGCGCTTATAAGCATTTGCGTTTAGAAGCGTTTTTTAACTGTTCCATATCCAGATGCTGTCCAGAGCCTTTTTTCATCATCAGAAATGCATGCAAAGTGTTTTCCATGTATTCAAATGGACTTAGTACACCAGCGCAGTCAGTTCCAGGAAAAAATGGTAGAACGTGACGCATTATGCTCATGATGGGATCCATAGTGAATACAACCAGAAAAGACAGGTAATCTCAGCACATACTGCTCTATCTGCGTCTGCTCTCTCTATTTCTCTCAAAATGTCTGAAATAGTTAATTTTTTTACTGTTTTTCAGTGCATTCTGGGCATTTTGGAAGGTCTCCTAAGCTTATCTTTAAAAAACGCTTCTAAATGCAAACGCTTATATACGCTTATTAACGCAGTATGCAAATGCGGTTAAATAGACGTTTTTAACCTACGTTTTCCAGCAGTCAGTTTTCATCATTTCAGAAGAGTTTTCCAAACATCCCGAGTACATAGAGCCTTAGATTTAATTCAACATATGCAAATTAATTTTAAAAATACATACACACTTTGCTATCCATTACCTGAAACAACAAATGACTCTTTCCAGCGTGGCAAAGACAACGATCGTATCCCATTTGAGAAGCTTCCCCTATATCCAGACTGTCCAGCTACTTTCCGAACAAGAATTTTCCCCCCAGAATTATCAATGACACCACTGTGAATAAAAAGCATGTTTTTTTTTCAATAAATAATCATCACTTAAAATATATACCATTTTAAATTGATCATGGTCATGAGAACCCAAGGCATTGCTAGCACATTTTCAGCTATATTCAGATCTACACTTTGCATGTCAAAACATGACTACTAGGGCTGTATTTATTAAAAAAATTGCAGAACTATTTGTCCTGTGCAATTGCATGTATATTTATTCTATGCGAATGGGGGCAAAATTGAATGTTACTATGCTATTTTTCTCCCCAGATTGAAAGTTATTTATTCATACAGAATATAGCGAATCAGAAACTATTGCAATTATGGTCACTAGATAGAGCTGATCATCATAGAATCATAGCTATCAACTTCATCTAATGGTCAAAATACAGCATTTTCTCAAACCTCTCTTTTTATGAATGAATAACATTCAACCTGGGGAGAAAATAGTCTAATAACATTCAATTTTTCCTTAGTCACAGGAACAAAAGCAGTTTTTGCATTGCTTTTATAAACATACCCCAAATAGTCATGTCATGTATAAATACACCCCTTAAGTGCTTCTCATAACTAGGATATTTAATCTTTCCAATGCCATAGTCCCCTATACTGACAGCAAAATATCGAAAGCAATCTGCAGAACTGTCCTATGTGTGGATAATTTTGCAAAATACCAGAATTATCTCCATGAAAAACTACATTAGTATTTTAAAGGCTTAATTTGCCCAAATGATACAAGTAGTTTTGGAGTCACTTACTGTCTTTTTTACTTGTTTGACTACTATAATGATTGTTTTAGAATCCTGTATACTGCAGTTTGAAGCATGAAGCTTTGGGCTACGAGCTAACAACATAACCCTCCTGACCTCTTCCAAGACTGTGTGATGTGAACACAATGATCAATGAAACCAGAAAGTAGCCCATGTTTTGAGCCTCCTTCTAGAATCATCTGTTTGATGCTCAAGGCCATAGAGATTGGTGTGAATATGGTAGAAGGCTGTACGCTTATAACTCCCATGCTATTTCTAGTTGTTAGGTTAAAGAGGCTTTGTTTTTTTCAGATTGTATTCTGCTTTTGTTATATAAATTGTGCTATATTGTTATAAGTACTTATCATTGGTAATATATATTTTGATTACATGCTTTATTAGTTTATACTAGTTATTTGTTCATATATATATACAGTCAGGTCCATAAATATTGGGACATTGACACAATTCTAACATTTTTGGCTCTATACACCACCACAATGGATTTGAAACGAAACAAACAAGATGTGCTTTAACTGCAGACTGTCAGCTTTAATTTGAGGGTATTTACATCCAAATCAGGTGAACGGTGTAGGAATTACAACAGTTTGCATATGTGCCTCCCACTTGTTAAGGGACCAAAAGTAATGGGACAGAATGATAATCATAAATCAAACTTTCACTTTTTAATACTTGGTTGCAAATCCTTTGCAGTCAATTACAGCCTGAAGTCTGGAAAGCATAGACATCCCCAGACGCTGGGTTTCATCCCTGGTGATGCTCTGCCAGGCCTCTACTGCAACTGTCTTCAGTTCCTGCTTGTTCTTGGGGCATTTTCCCTTCAGTTTTGTCTTCAGCAAGTGAAATGCATGCTCAATCGGATTCAGGTCAGGTGATTGACTTGGCCATTGCATAACATTCCACTTCTTTCCTTTAAAAAACTCTTTGGTTGCTTTTGCAGTATGCTTTGGGTCATTGTCCATCTGCACTGTGAAGCGGCGTCCAATGAGTTGTGAAGCATTTGGCTGAATATGAGCAGATAATATTGCCCGAAACACTTCAGAACCTAAAGAGGTTGCACAGGCAGTCCAACTCCTCCAGGATGGCACATCAATACATGCCATTGCCAGATTTACTGCGTCAGTCTCAAGAGCATTCAGGAGATTCCAGGAGACAGGCAGTTACTCTAGGAGAGCTGGACAGGGCCGTAGAAGGTCCTTAGCCCATCAGAAGGACCGGTATCTGCTCCTTTGTGCAAGGAGCAACAGGATGAGCACTGCCTGAGCCCTGCAAAATGACCTCCAGCAGGCCACTGGTGTGAATGTCTCTGACCAAACAACCAGAAACAGACTTCATGAGGGTGGCCTGAGGGCCTGTGCTCACTGCCTGGCACCATAGAAATTGATTGGCATTTGCCATTGAACACCAGAATTGGCAGGCCACCATTGGCATCCTGTGCTTTTAACAGATGAGAGCAGGTTCACCCTGATCACATGTGACAGCCGTGAAAGGGCCTGGAGAAGCCGTGGAGAACGTTATGCTTCCTGTAACATCATTCAACATGACTGTTGGTGGTGGGTCAGTGATAGTCTGGGGAGGCATATCCATGGAGGGATGCACAGATCTCTACAGGCTAGACAATGGCACCCTTACTGCCATTAGATATTGGGATGAAATCCTTGTACCCATTGTCAGTCCCTACGCTAGTGCAGTGGGTCCTGAGTTCCTCCTGGTGCATGACAATGTCCGGCCTCATGTGGCGAGAGTATGCAGGCAGGTCCTGGAGGATGAAGGAATTGATACCATTAAATGGCCCCCACGCTCGCCTGACTTAAATCCAATAGAACACCTTTGGGATATCATGTTTCGGTCCATCCGACGCCACCAGGTTGCACCTCAGACTATCCAGGAGCTCAGTGAGTAATGCTTTGGTCAAGATCTGGAAGGAAATACCCCAGGACACCATCTGTACCATTTTGAGTTGGTGCAATGAAATTTCAGCAATATGGACTAGCCTGCTGCATAATTTTTCCACTTTGATTTTCGGGGTGTCTTTGAATTCAGTCCTCTGTAGGTTGATAATTTTCATTTCCATCAAACGAATGGGCATCCTTATGTTCCTACCCAGTCTTTATCAGTATAGATATCCAGCATGATATTTTTCCCCATTGAGATCTGATGTGTTTTCAAATTGTTCCTTTAATTTTTTGGGCAATGTACTTATATCCAACTGTCTTTTTTTCAGACATATTATATACCATCCTTTCTATATTTATGTTGACCTCATGTAGATTCAAGCCCCCAGTCATATATACGGTAACCAAACCTCCTGCAGAAGACTTTGGCTTGTGTTCCAGCAGCCTCTGGCCATGATGGACATCCTCCATTCACACACGGAGCCCTTCTATATGAGCCATTCTAACATTTTCTGATGTAGATAGATGCTAAGCCACCCAAATAATTTTATCTGCTTAATATGTTAATTTGCTCTTTTACCTATACATTCCTTTATGCAAAATGTATACTGTATATATATATATATATATATATATATATAACATTTTTTTTTTGCATAAGTGATCCTTTATGGCATTTATATACAGGGCTACAGGGACAAACTGCATTGTGTTCCTTGATAGTATTATATTGCAATCATGTTTTTATACATATATATATATATGAATAATTTTTTTTCGTATTTGGCTCAGAGTTTGGTGTGTTTGTTGGTTTGTTTGGTGACCTTAGACATGACCGGTTGCTCCACCCCCTATAGTGAGACCAGTTGTGTTCAATCTATGGTTCAATAAATATATAGAATACAAAAATATACTCACAAACAATGAAGTATTTCAAGCATGTAAGTTCTCAGAGGAACTATGGAATGGTAAAACCTGCGCGAGTCCCATCATAGGGGTGAACACTCAGGGAACAACTGACGCGTTTTTGAAGGATGTCCCTTCTTCATCAGAGCTCTGATGAAGAAGGGATGTTCTTCGAAACGTGTCAGCTGTTCCCTGAGTGTCCACCCCTATGATGGGACTCGCGCAGGTTTTACCATTCCATAGTTCCTCTGAGAACTTACATGCTTGAAATACTTCATTGTTTGTGAGTATATTTTTGTATTCAATAAAATTTGGTTTACCGAGGTAATGCGCAAGGTTGGTGCGCTTCTTTTTTGTTTTTGCTTCACAGTATTGGTCGAGTTTCCCCAGCCTTGTTTGGAGCTGCACAACCCCATATGCACAGGTGGTCGAATTTTTTCAAGTTCTGGTTCCATCTTTCCACCTCCTTTGGGTCTCTGAGCGCAGGAGAGTTAGTTTCTACAATAAATATATAGACCTGACTCTATCACATGTTGGTTAGCATAGCTCTGAGGAAGGAGGCATGCCTCTGAAATGCGTCAGCTTGCCAGTCCAGCTGGGTTGCATGGACACTAGGGTTGTCACCGCATCCTTTTAAAAACCGAACACATTAATTACACAAGTTCTGAGGCTAATTTAATGCAGATAAGGCACTAAGTGAGTTTAATTACCACCTTAATCAACCACAGATCTTGTGTAATTATTATGTCTTTGGTTTTAAAGGGATGAGGTGGCAACCCTAATGGACACGCGATTTCCCTTGTTGTGGCATCTTGTGGTTTTTATGCAATTTTACTTTCCACTTCTGTGAGTATCTATTTGGCATCTATGTTTTGTGAACAATAAATCATTGGTAGTGCATTAGGTGTTTGCCCCCTCCTCTTTGTTCTTTTTGTAGTTTTCACAAGACTTCCCCGGTTGAGGAGGGCAGCATCTACTACACATTCCTGGAGAAGTTCATGATCCATAGGATATGATACATCATTTTTGGTAATCTTCCTCTTTGGTAGACCTATGAGCACTGAATTTTACAGAGTTTTTCATGTAGGTAAGACAGAGAATTTAACTACAAACCTGTGAATGGCGGCTGAGCAAATAGTTGAGAATGAGGCGTATATGTCTGTGCCATAAGTACGATATTTCTGATCCTTGCATCCAGGAGGACATTTTGCAAGGAATTCAGGATTGACTATTCTTCCAGCTTTAACTTCACAGGCAATACTGGGCACATCTGTGAAAGTAAACAATACGCTTTTATATTATATTCCTTTATATTATATTCCTATATAATTGTCATTGTTGACATAAGATTATAAAAACACAATTTCATTCTTTGTTAAAAGTGTGCGCAAAAACCTTATTTGGGTATTATCTAAGTATAATTAAGGTACCTCTAATGCTATGTGTCCCACTGGTGGCTGGTTCTTCTTTATTGAAAAATGTTATGTACATAAATCCTCTGTTGGTAATGCTACTGTTGAAATTTTGGCAGCGAAAATGACAGTTGGAGCTGGATCCCAGCGATTATAGTGGGCTGCTTGCTGTGCAGCTCCTCCATTCAGAAAACATCTTGTATTCTTTTCAAAGAATGCAAGCCATTCTGTGATTGGACAGGTGGGATTTGAACATCACAATCCCCCCTTGTCCAATTACAGCTCAAAACCTGTCATCATTTACCATTGCAAAGCTAAGTGATGGTGTCACCTCAAGCCCCAATTGATTCCCCATAATATAGACTAAAATACATATATTAGGTAATACAGTAGAAAAAAGTGACATCTTTTTCATGGCCTTTTGAAGAAGAAGAAGTGAAGATGCAAACTGTACAAAACCAATAATTTAGGTAAAAGTTGTTACATAGTTATTCTGGCTGAAAAAAAGACAAAAGTCTATCCAGTTCAACCATTAAAAAAAAAAAAAAAAAAAGTTATAATCCTATGCCCACAGTTGATCCAGAGGAAGGGGAAAAAACCCAGCAAAGCATGATCCAATTTGCTCCTGAAGGGGAAAAAATTCCTTCCTGATCCCCCGAGAGGCAATCGGATATTCCCTGGATCAACTTTACCTATAAATGTTAGTATCCAGTTATATTCTGTGTATCTAATAAAGATTCCAGGCCTTTTTGAAGCAATCCACTGAGCTGGCCAGAACCAACTCTTGAGGGAAACTATGCCACATTTTCACAGCTCTTACTGCGAAGAAACCTTTCCGTGTTTGGGGATTAAATCTCTTTTCCTACAGATGTAAAGAGTGCCCCCTTGTCCTCTGTGATGACCTCAGGGTGAATAACTCTACACCGAGTTCACTATATGAACCACTGATGTATTTATACATGTTGATCATAACCCCCTTAATCTCCTCTTCTCAAGAGAAAATAAATTCAGTTCCTCTAATCTTTCCTCATAGCTGATCTCCTCCATGCCTCTTATCAGTTTGGTTGCCCTTCTCTGTACTTTCTCCAGTTCCCCAATGCTCTTTTTGTGAATTGGTGCCCAAAACTGAATTGCATATTCCAGATGAGGTCACATAATACAGTGCTATTTTCCCAACAACACAAGTGGTGGAGCAACATCAAAACCTACGTTGTCTGTTCTTTTTATTCTTCTTGGAAGATACACCAGTGCACCCCAGGATTAAAACTGTACAGTGAGAAACAGAGCACAAATGAATTAATCATGAACAAATAGATCTAATCAGCATAAGAAGCATTTTTAAGTTTACAGTAACATAAGTTTACAGTAACATAACTATTACCTGTTCAAGACACCTCTTAAAGATGCTCTTAGGCTTCGTTCACACCAAATGCACTACAGTCCATTTAACATGGTTTCCTACGGAACACGTTCACATCTATGCTTTTTTTGAGCTGCTGCGTTCTTGGAAAGGGTCAAGTACTTTTTGAAAAGTAAAAAACAGAGTTTTTGCTGCAATAGATTTCAATGGACAATCTGCTGAAATCCATGGCAGTGCGTTTTTGCCGCATTTTTGCGTTTTGCATTTTTATTCTGCCCAGCAACAAAAACTCCACTTTAAGAAAAAAAAAGCTGAACAAAATGCAAAACGCAGTAAAAACGCTTGCAGAAAAACGCAAAATGAACTGCGAAAAGCACTGCAAAACGGACAAAAAGCAAACTGCATAGGTGTGAACGGAGCCTAAATGACTGCATTGGGGACTGTAATCCAGTAATACATCCACCTGGGAAGAATGTCTGCGGGAGATCCAGTGAACTCTAGAAAAGCCTTGGCATGAGTAAAGTGTTAGCTAGTGCCTGTGGCTGTGCAAGGAAAGTTTTGTTCCAATCTACTTGTTTGCCTCCTGTTCGCTTCTAGGCATTAAAGAATTCTTGTAATTTTGTTTTTCCTGAAGTGAGGTAACAGTTCATAAACCCTGAGTGCTTTGCTTTTTATATTCTGTCCTGTTTTGGGATCATTGGGAGTTAGAGGAAGTTAGGTTGTGTGTGTTTTCAGCACTGCATTGTTATCAGGAAGGAAAGCCCCTTACATGTTTGCAGTTGTATTTTTTTTTGATTGGTGGGTTTCCAGGCATTGGGCATTGTGATTGACATGGATCTTCACAGCTGGGTGACGTGAATAAAGATGGATGTACAACATGGGACATTTTTAGGGTCTATCCTTTTAATAAATGGCTTTTCAAAAATGATGTGTGTGTTTTGTAGCATGAACTCCATACTCATTCACATAGGGGAGGTCGGTATTTAATTGTTAAAGGGGCATGGGGCTTTCAGATTCCGATAAGCCCCTTGTCCACAAAGCCCCAAACCACTGGGCTATTAGTGGCAGTAGGTGGCACTTGTCCTCATCAAAATGCTTTGCCAAGGCTGTCCCTTGCTTGCACGCTCATCCCTTCCCTGTCATGATCTGTCAGGCTGCATGCACAGACTGCAAAGGTCTGTAGAGCATTTTTTTTTTCAGGGGGAGGACCTCATGATTTCCTTCCTTTTTTTTGCACAGGGTTCTCTCCTACCCACTTGCCCTCTTGAGGATTTACCCCCCTTCCTGACCAGGCCATTTTTTGCGTTACGGTGCTGCGTTACTTTAACTGTCAATTGCACGGTCATGCAACGCTGCATCCTTTTTTTTTCCCTACAAATAGAGCTTTCATTTGGTGGTATTTGATCACTTCTGCATTTTAATTTTTTGGGATATAAAAAAGAGAAACCTGACAATTTTGAGAAAAAAACATTTTTGACTTTTTGCTATTAAATATGTCCAGTAAAAAAATTTAAAAATCTAATTTCATCATAAATTTAGGCCAAAATGTATTCTGCTACATGTCGTAGCTAAAAAAAAATCCAAATACGTGTAAATTAATTGGTTTACGTGAAAATTATAGTGTTTAAAAATGGCTGTATATATACTGGGATTTTTTTTTTTTAATTTTTACTAGTAATGGCAGCGATCAGCAACTTGTAGCGGTACTGCGATGGGCATTCTGATACGGGGGGGGGGAACTTACTTGGTGCCACTGACACCAACACAGTGATAAGTGCTGATAAAAAGCACGGACACTGTACTAATGGCGCTGGGCAGGAAGGGATTAACATGTGGGGCAATCAAGGTTAACTGTGTGTGTTTTTACTATTAGGCTGTGTGTTTGTGCTCCACTGTAAGCACACTGCTTTGCATGGCTGTGCTATGCTCAGCCATGCAAAGCAGTGTGCAGGAGCTGACAGGGCAGAGAACTGTTTTGTTTACAAACAGTTCCCCCCCTCCCCCCATCTGAGATGCTCGGGAATCACCAGGCGCCGGCAAGTAACCACCAGCCGGGACCCGGTGATTGACAGCCATGACCTGGAGATGCAAAATCATGTATATATATGTGATTTTGCGCACCCATGCCACCCTATAGCAGTACTTCTGCTACAGGGTAGACGAGAAGCAGTTAAAATCAATACCAGGCCCAATGCATCTTTAAGAATTATGGGGGGACCCGCATGCCATTTTTTTTTTGCGTGGGGGTTCCCCATTAACAGAATGGAATCCTCAGCTACTTTGTTTACAAACAGAATGAAGTGGCAGGGAGTTGTCGTTTTGCCAGCAATTTGAACAAATTTTTTATTCATAAATGTCAGTTTTGCTGGGGTAGGTTATATACATTGCACTAATGTTCCACTTCACAGGCAGGGTCAGAGCATCCCCTGGCATCTTGTTTAATGCAATTTGTTAAAGTTTCACTTCAAGCATTTTAAACATTCCTGCTTAATGGAATTTAAACTTTTTTTTTTTTTGCTTTGGCACATCTAAGGACAATGCCCAGCCCTGCATGCTGTTTGTCTGACAGTCACTTGCCTATTATTCTAGAAAATGGTCATTACTGGGTTTTTCTTTAACATTTGGCTCTCATTGACTTCAATTAGGTTTGGATTTGGCATCCAAACCTCAGTACTGCTTACAGCGTCCCCCCCCCCCCTTCTTGAACCAATCCCAGGCATGTACATCTCATCACTAGCCCTGGTATCAATTGTCATTGTTGCAGAATGATGTGGGCATTCCAAATTTTTACAGTTCTCCCCAGAACAAGAGAAAAATCTTTGTTCAATGACAACTGATCCTTGCTTTGGAGATGTTTCTTCTCAGTTTCCTTTGCATCTCCAGGACAGGAAGTGAAGAAAAGTCACAGACCAAAAAAGTACAAGTTAGAGTGGTTGTAAAGGCTGAAGGTTTTTCACCTCCATGCATTCTATGCATGAAGGTAAAAAACCTTCTGTGTGCAGCAGTCCCCCAGCCCCCTCAATACTTGACTGAGCCCCATCGTGATCCAGCAATGTGAATGACAGCCTTGGCTGTTCTGGGTCTCTGCCTCCTCATTGGCTGAGGCAGCAAGCGGGAGCCATTGGCTCCCGCTGATGTCAGTCACAGGCAGTCAGCCAATGAGGAGAGAGGGGGGGTTGGGCCAAGCCACAGCTTCGTATGTGAATGGACGCACGGAGCAGCGGGTGCCCCCATAGCAAGCTGCTTGCTGTGGGGGCACCCGACAGACAGGAGGAGCCAGGACAGCCTGCAGGGGACCCGAGAAGAGGAGGATCCAGGCTGCTCTGTGCAAAACCAGTACACACAGTAGGTAAGTATAGACATGTTTATTATTTTATGGAAAAAAAATGAACCTTTAGAATCGCTTTAACCTTTCCCTATACTATCCAAAACTAAAAAGAAAAGTTTTGATGATGTATACACTTTAAATTTAGCTTAGCTCTTCAGTAAATGCTTCAGAAAGCTTTTGTGTTTAATTTTGGTAAGATATAGTTAACATGCCTGGTTCTGCTGTAGCACATAATTTTGATCTGGCTTTTTAAAGTCTTATTCATCCCAGAATGCATGCATAATGTGATGTATTGGTATCCCTTTATAGACACATCTGGTATGAATGAGCTCTTAAACTTTACATTGCAATATAACTGACAGCTTTATGCCAAATACAAGAGGACGATTCTTTGTGGTCCTAAAAAATACTTGTTTTAACCATAAAAATATGTAAATGACAATCTTTTTAAAGTCAGTGGACAACTATTCAGAATTTGAGTTGCCCAATCTCAGAGCCAAGAGGTAGTAGTTTTAATTAGCCAGAAAACATATTTCATTTTTAACAGCAAAAAAAGCAAAGGAAACCTGTACTGAGGAAAATATAGACTGCCTTTGCTAGCTAATGTTTACTGCCTGGCTTTCAGTGGCTTCAATACTTTCTTAGTAATGAAACTCCTAGTCTGCAGACTTGTTTCAGGTCATTGGCTTAGGAAATATTAAAGCCAGAGGACTGCTATGGCAGCTTTGATGTTTCCGTCAGTACATATTCGAGTTGGATCCCAGTTTTGGGTATTGGAAACTGGCTAGTTATGTGTGTTTATATCTTGTGTGTGTCATTACATTTTTATTTTAGAATCAATATATACATCAAGTCATATAGGGTTGTTTTTAAGTCCCTAGGCCTTAGGCTACCCACATATGTGAGCACACTTTGGAGTGAGTGGCTTGATCATCAAAATACTTGACCGTACACAAGCATGACCAAATCTGATATTTATTTAGGTCTTAGCACATCCACCCAACTACATTTGCAATGGGCGCATGCTATTTCTACAAGTCAATGTGGTCAATGCTAATACACTTTTCTCATGCTGTAAAATTACCAGGCAGGATGAGACATTTGCTCAAAATAAAGTAATGAAGATTTAGGTTGCTTTGAGCACAGTACTACATATTTCGCCAAAGAAAAATTCTACTTGAATCAGACTGATTCATTGGATGCCACATTTTACAAAATTTAGTCTGTTTTTGCCAAAGAGTTTTTTCCATTTTCAGTTCATAATTTTTTTTTAGAAGGCTTTATTATTATTGCTCCTTCAATTTTTTTTTTTCCTATCCCACAGCCAATAATTCCTACAGAAAAACATACCAGAAGATCTGCATTTGCCAAGTCTACTGGTGGTAGACTCTTCATCTACGTTTTGGCACCAGTCACCATGCAGATATCCACATCTGATTTCAGGGTATTATTTACAGGTTAAACAAAGGTAAAATGTGTATGGGAACTCAATAGTCGGCAGTTTTTCTCAGTTTTTTTTTTTTTCAGGAGCCAAAACCTATAGTTAAAAACTTTTAAAATTAAGGTGGACATTCATGTT